ATTAACAAAGTTACTCATTTGATGCTTTGTAACATCGTAATCTATTGTTTGAGATCACTTCTTTGTAGTTATCCTTTATTACCTCAGCATCATCAATTACTTTGTTAAATTAGGCTTTTTGATCTTGTGCTCATTAATAGTTATTTATGCGTCTATGTCTAAGGCGTTAGGTGGACGGTAATGGTCCACGGTATAAAATTGTAACGCAGAGTGTGGTACGTCGCGAAATCCAACAGGCCACGAGAAATAAACGCTTTAGTGTGAATGTAGAAATTTATTGTAGTCCGTAAGTGGACATAAAAATGAATAAATTAACAGTACTATATGATTGAGTGCCGGTTGTTGTGACCGTTACACCAACAAATAGATATGGACAATTCTCGTGACTGATGAGCATCGGTCAATTGAAAGATAGCGAACGCTAAAGATCCTTATCATTCTGTGGAGTGAAAGAGTTAGCGGACTTCAAAAATTAGGACTTCACTTCGAACCTACTCACAAGGTGCACTTTACTATCCGGCCGTAAATACATTTTATCTCGAGGTCCAAATCTATTGAATGGGCTTGATACAGCCAATTCCATAGGACAACAAGATCCTTTATATACAGGGTGTTTCAGTTTATTGTTGCATAACTTTAAGATTGGATAGAACTTTTAAAATTAATGCATAAAGTCTATATAAACATGGGTCGATAAATGCGTGGCTTCCGAAATACAGGGTGTTTAAATTTACTTTCTAAAATAGTTTTTTTTGAATATTTCGAACAATATTTGATGTATAACAGTGAAAATTGGTATACAAGGTTTTTTTGGTACGACAAAACGAACCATGGTTTTACTGTAGCCGCTAGAGGGCGCTCTCTACTGTACCTGTGGTGTATTAAAATGACCGAAATTTTTTTCTTAGCGCAATTTTTTGCTTTTTGAACAAAAAAAATGATTCTTCGCACTTTTCAACATAAAAAAGCTCTCCTGTGAGTTTTCGTTATAGTTAGCCGTTTTTGAGGTATTTCGATTTTTAAGGTTCGATGCATTTTTAATTATTTATGGGAAAATAATATTTTTTTTTACATTTTCGATTTGGGCATTACAAGTAATTAAGATGATCGTTTAGATTGTGTTTTTCTACACAGCAATAATTTCTAACTCCAAAAAAAACAGAATATTAATTTGTTTGATTTTCCAATATTATTTTTAACAAATTAAATTAATTATTTACAACTAAAATGCTATTGGATAGTTAGGACAAACATACAAAATCTAAAGTAGTTGCTCGAAATGTAAACCCAATTGTTCAATACACAATTAACATCTACGAATGATCGAACGTGGTATAGCATTATTCAAATAAGGTCTTATTTCATCACATGCATTCCTGATTCTGTCTATTAGCATATCTCTTGTGGTTACGCGAGTCTGGTACACTTTTTCTTTTAGAAATCCCCTCACAAAGAAATCTAATGGATTTAGGTCAGGGGATCGTGGAGGCCAGGCGACTGGTCCTCCACGGCCGATCCATCTTTCTGGATAATTTTCGTCCAGTCAGTTTATAACTATTCTCGAATAATGAGCTGGACAACCATCAAGCTGGAACCAGGCCAATCTTCTCAAATCTAACATAACATCATCCCACATATTTGCATGTTCAGCCTTTAAAAATTCCAAGAAGGTCGCAGCATTTAACCTTGCAGGCAAAAAGTACGGTCCACATAGTCGATTACGGTAGATACCAATCCACTAAATTCATGCTGAAAATTTCTTTCCCGAACTAAATGCGGATTTTCATGCGACCAAATATGATTATGAAAATTTACCACGCCACGTCTAGTGAAGCATGACTCATCGGTCCATAAAACGTTACTTAAAAACTCCCTATTATTATCAGTTCTATCAAGAATTGACTGACAAACTGTGATTCTTCGTTCTCCGTCCCCTTGCTGTAGTCCTTGCACGGGTTGCAAATGGTAAGGACGTCTATGGTCATTTCTAAGAACACGGTGAACATGGCTTGCTGAAATTCCCAACGCACCAGAAACTCTCCTAACACTTGTGGTCGGATCTCTATCAAACTCACGCAGAATCATACGGGTAAATCTGCGCTGGCGAACATTTATGTTTTGATCCCTTTGGAGATTTCCAAAACCATTTTCAATTATTTGGCGATGCACTCTTACAAATACTGAGCTAGTTGGATGTCGTCTGTTTGGAAATCTTCGTGCGTATTCTCTGGCTGCTTCTGCTGCGTTTCCATTTACAAAGCCATACACAAAATGAATATCCGCTAACTCTTGATTGGAGAATAAAAATGGCATTTTTATAAAACTTACGAAAAAAAACAGGTAAAAGATACTAAATTTCGTGCATTCACAATTGCAAAAAAACGTTTCAGGTTTCAACAGACAACAAAACTAACTGTCAACTAATTGACGTTTAACCTTATTCTGCTTTCAATTTCAAAAATATTTGCAGGCACAGCCTATTTCTAAATATTATCGAGATACTGACTTTTGAACGTTATTTTATCATAAATAATTAAAATTGCATCGAACCTTAAAAATTGAAATATCTCAAAAACGGCTAACTATAACGAAAATTCACAAGAGAGCTTTTTTATGTTGAAAAGTGCGAAGAATCAGTTGTTTTTATTCAAAAAGCAAAAAATTGCACTAAGAAAAAATTTTCGGTCATTTTAATACACTACAGATACAGTAGAGAGCGCCCTCTAGCGGCTACAGTAAAACTATGCCCATGGTTCGTTTTGTCGTACCAAAAAAACCTTTGTATACCAATTTTCACTGTTATACATCAAATATTGTTCGAAATATTTAAAAAAAAAACTATTTTAGAAAGTAAATTTAAACACCCTGTATTTCGGAAGCCACGCATTTTTCGACCCATGTTTATATAGACTTTATGCATTAATTTTAAAAGTTCTATCGAATCTTAAAGTTATGCAACAATAAACTGAAACACCCTGTATACGAGTAGTGTACGCCATTTTTTCATCATGTCCACATTGTGTTTTAAGCGTACCAAAATTGAATTGCATACAACAATGATACGTTGACTGTATCGAATTTTCTGTGTAACGTCTCCTTCGAAGTTAGGGGTACTGCCCAAACTACGAGCAATGAACGTCTTTTTGTTGTGCCTAACATGTCGTCTTTTAAGCGTTTGTGCTACAATGTTCTCAAATATCCCAAGTTGGCTACGTGTTGACAATCTTATTACTCTCAACAAAGATGGATCAAACTGCGACGAAACTTGTTCAAGGTTAATTGATTTTTCATATAATGCAGCTGAAGTGTAGAACAATATCATTCAGGATTAGAGTGATTATCTGCCACTTCGTTTAAGGATAAGTCGAACGAAACTTTATTATACTGTAAGATCACTGATTCAATTTGGATGTTATTCGATGGAGACTAACCGTTCTCAGGAAATTTACTTCATCCAGAATGTTAAAGTTATAAGGCACTAATGTTGAATACCGATTTTATTTCTTACGTTACGAGAGAAATAAGATATTTTTGTTCTTGAACCTTATATGAGACGAACAGTATACAAAAAGCATGCCATCTCCGCGATGTGAATAATGTTCGCAGGTTTTGAGAATCGCTCCAGTGACGACGCAGTGTTAACTAAAGACTAATAAATAATCTACACGCTTCGAATCGGAAAATATCAACCGGTTCTTATTAAAGCTTCAACACTGAAGCAGTGACGCCCACTCCAGTTTTTGTGCTTTTTTTCTAGATATCTTGCTTATCCTTGTACTTTCCCAGAAAACTGGAAATTTGCTCCTGTACAGCCCATCTCAAAAATGATTTAAGACCGACCCTTGCAACTCTGCTTTGTGTTATAAGTAAACTTTCGGCCTATGGGTTCCCAGAGAAGCTTTGCAAATGGGTGGCTGATTTCCTCACTGGCCGCAAGATATCTATAGTAGTTGACGGGTTCTAGTCTCTTATATTGGCTCCGACATTGTTCCTCTTACTTATTAACTACCTCCTTTTCTGTATGATCGATCCGATCCGCAGCTTTGCTGATGACAGCTCTCTATATGCAGCAATTCAGAGTGACAATCCGATCTCCGCTTACGTGGCAAGAAATAACATATTTATAGGCTTTTGAAATCGGTCTAGTGGTGGTGGAGATATGAACGAAAATAAAACATTCCAAATTGTGCCCATACACTTCATTATTGAATGTCCTTTGAGTCAACCATTGGAGTAGTAAGTATTGTTTTGATGAGGTTAAAAATGTAGCTTCGTTTTTCGAAGTTTTTCAGCTTTCCAGTCAGCAAATCACTAATCATCATTTATAATTCATTTTGGTAAAATTGAACCAAAGTTTTTTTAATGTTGAGATGTTCTATCTGTTGGCTCCATACATACTGGACAAAATTCTTGGTTCTCATAGATTTCTGATACCACTTAACTGCCTCAGAGAATATTTCCCTCTATATGCAGGATATAAAAGATATGTTTTCAAAAATCTGATATCACCTTTACTTCATACGCCAATAGCGAGGAAATATCTTAAACAGTGACATTTCGTAGGTTTTTTTACAGTTTGTAGGTTTTTTTTTTTGACATTTCGTAAGTTTTTCTACAGGATGTTATCTTAGCATAAGCTGTTGTACACTTGTTGTGAACTGGTTTTGCATCTGTACGTGCAAACGTGGAATGAACTATTTCCACATTAAAAACTACCTAGTCTGCAAGATAACATTTCGTCGGTTTTTTAGACGTTTTTTGAATTATTTCATAATGGCTGTGCGGTACTTTCCAAGTTATAGACGAGCCAAGGAGAACTGGACAGACCGAACAAGAGATAGACAGACTGACGAAAATGCACAAAAACATAGCATCTCATCTTTGAAATATTCCGCGATTGAAATACTTTCTCACCACTAGTGAAGTGAAAAGTGTGAACGAAAATACACCCAAAACGTTATACATCCCATAGGCTTGGAATGCTGAATTCTCAAAATGCAGTTGGATACAGGAAGTTTACTTTATTGGGCCATTTAAAGTTACAAAAAGTTCCAACTACTAACTAAAGTCGGATAAAGTCACTCTAGAGAATACAAAATGCCGGAGTAGGCTGGAAACTCCATCCCTGCGAGAGGTTTTAACAAATGCAGTTTTAAATGTGATTCATTATCTCGGAGGAATGCAGTTCTTAGATTAAGCTTTATTATCTCTTATATATACAGCTACATACAAACGCTACTAGTATATTTATTAGACAGAACTACAAACGAAGGAAAGTTGATATATACGAAAGGATTTCTACGATTGCGTGTCATAAACCTAGCCAATTTGGTACTTGCTTAAAGTCGAAAGTTTGATTTCTTATAGCAATTAACTAGTTCAAAAAATAATGAAATAATAAAGTTTTCGAGGATGAGAATATAGTCAAGACTGTTGTTGCATCTTCCGTTTTCGTTGATGGTTCCCAGCCAATCTTACCATCTAAGCAGCTACATATTTTCATTGAAATAATCGTTTACTAGACCTCAATGTGATTTTATAGCTTAGCGGATCTATTACATATTATAAATCTCATAAATCGTGACACCCAAGAAATAAATGTTTAAGTAGCTTTGCTTGTTTTTCTTGAACAATTTGATGCTTGTCGAAATACTAACAAAATGACTACCGACAAAGCTGTTGTAACAAATCGGCGTAGAAATTACAATTGATCTATACTAAAGTGTAAGTATAAGGGCATACTCTATCCCAAAATAAAGTCGTTTATACGGGTCTTTTCGTTAGTGACCCCCGTCCCGATTTACCCTTTGAAAGGATTAAGTTAGCACGTTGAAGTTCAGTATTAAAAATTGATGCATGAATCCTGAATTTTAGCCTGAGAATCATATTTAAAATTTTCAAGACGGCATCTGTGCGCCGTTTCGGATAGTTTTCTGAAAGGAATGATGGGTCAAGTGCCAACTCATTTTGAACGTCAGTGAACCTTATAAACGTAGAATACAAATTTTCCTTTTTTAAATGTGCTGGACTTTCGTACTGTTAGAGTTTATGTACTTCTTTTCGCATACAAATCAACGACTAATCATCAAAATCTTAGTAGTTCGAGTATGATATATCAATTTTCTTTGAAAAACTTTATCCGAAAATGCAATAAAATATTGGAAATTCAATTACAAAAGTAGCAAATTTCTGACAAATTTTTTGAACTGAATCTTCTTTATTTTGCATTATCTTTTTGAATGTAAAGTGAATCAGCCTACGAAAACTCTAAAATTTTACTATTTGTCAGACCGTCATTTTGACAAATAGAGAACTCAGTGTTTAGGGTTAAATATAAATAGTACATACTTATAAGAAGCTTCAGAACGATTTATCACATAACCCACCTTCCTTTCAAAAAATTACAACAAGGTACTCATTCACTTTTTGAATACAAGGCGAATATACACCTATGATCTTCATGCTTCAATTTTACTATCACGAACTTCACCTTGATCCATTCAAAAAATTAAAGAATGGGGGACGTTAAAGAAAAGCACTGTATTGATGGTATCGCTGTATTGGCTTGAGCTGCATCCAATCGTTACGGCGTTTAATTAGCTAGTTAATGAATATGTCAATACAAGTTTGAAGTTTATGACACACAACGACTGAGTAATATCACACTGTATAAAACAACATCAAAACATGAAATATGCGCCCAATAGATTCGATAAAATAAAAGCGGCCGAAAATACGCAAAAGTATTTTTTCAATGGTTTCTTATACTTTTCCCTAATTTGGACTTTATACATAACAAACAACAATTCAATAACCTAATTAACTATCATAGTGCACAATGAGCAATGCCTTTATTAAGGTTGATGCATATTTCCAATTTTAGTGTTTAACATTTCCCTAGGCTCAGAGAAACAGTGAAAAGGTTTATTTTTGCAATTGATTAACAAGCGCTTGCACTCGAACGAGCAGATTATAATGCTAAAATTATGTTGTCAACAGCAATGTGCATTTGGCAATTCGCTTCAACACAACTACCATTATATGCTGCAGTTGACATGTAAATACGATACGGGAAGCTCGTTGGATCCTACAGCTTTTTAGATTTTCTCCACGTTGTCTGATAATGGAAGCCTAGTAGCTGTCATTTGCGCTTCAGTTGTTTCTTAAAATTTAATCAATTTCATCGATTAGTCTTCGAGATATAGAATCGCTTCCATGCTTTACGAGCACGTGAATCTTTTCGAGGTAAACTTTGAACTTAATGATAAGGGGATGAAGATACATGCACAATGCATTAGCCAAACTAACCAATCTGATAATTCGTTGCAGTACGATACTAGGAACATGTGGGAACCATGTCCAATATTTTCATTCAGGAATCGTATTCTTGAAACTGAGGGAGTAGATTCACTGAGAGAGTAGAGTCGCTAAGAGAAAGTGGGTGATATTCTTTTCCTGTGAAATGATTCCAAATTCGTGCAGCTGTTGACATTTGTCAACCAAGTCTGCAAATGCATCCATTTCCGGAAAGATAGAATGTTGCTGGTCTGTATCATTAAATGTTGGTCGACGGCGATACTTCCGCACCTTCTGCCCAAGAATGATTCCTGGAGCTACTATTTACTGTGCAGAAAGCTGAGACAAACACGCCCACTTTCTCTCACCTATTCTACACCGTCATTACAAGTATTGATCCCTGGAGAATTTTATTTGTCAGAGCTAAATGAAAATCAAACTGGAGACGGATCTCTACGGCCCTAGCACCTTGTAAGATAGTGATCAAAGACTTCGTGGGTGGATCCACTTCAGTATGTGATCACGACTCTGCAATTATCAACCAATCAAGGAGTTGAATAGCTTACGTACAATTATGATGACGAACTTCGTCACATAACAGATTACCTCGGATCCATGATAACACATGCAAGTAGACCCACCTTGAGCATTGCCTTTCTAAAACAACAAACAAATCATATTTTAACCGTAGATGATGTCGTAGACTGATCTAGGCAGGTGGTCAGCGATGAAAATCTGAATCTTCTCCTTCTTGGATACTGGAGTATACTTTTTCAGGGGGAAGGTACGGATTACTGAGTCGTTGAGAGCACGGAGTACTGGTGTTAAGTCACATTCCTGAAACATAAGAATATTTGTTATAAATTATAAGTGAAGCAGCTGTACATAGATTTTTCAAATATGTGGTAAAATACAAATCAGGTAGTACCGAGTCATAGGATGGAAGAGTTTCATCAAGTATGTGTACCTACAATCTACCAGTAAACTAGATCTTGGACGCTCTAAAGATGCAGTCTACATCATTCTTAAAGCAGCAGCTTCACTTCGTTTTTATTTGTCTATCTCCCAAAGTAACCCTTTCGAACGCGGTTTTCTTTGTTACGAGACTGCAGAACCTCACGCCGATACAACCGACAGAATTTCTCGATTACGAAAGTCTTATTATAAGTGTAAGATGTTGTTTGTTATTATATAAGCAATTCCGTGCACCGTATAGCTGGTTTGTTGACATACACAAATTAATATAATTTTCCAAAAGAAGTTACATTGACACGGACAGCAATATCTTTTTCTCTACCTATAGATAGATGTTTCTTTGGCTCCCTCTTTGATTGGTTCATTTATCCTTAGTGATGTTGTTTTGTGTCAGGGTTTTGGAATTGAATGTTGCTTTTTCTTGTGTAATCAAGAATGCATGTTTCAAATAAAAATCACAATGAAAAGTGTAACGAAGTTACACTGACACTGACACCATTCTGATTCTGTATACAAATTGACGGTTCAGGTTCTTCAATGCTTGTATAGTATACTTTTCTAATGAGACTGGATGTTGCATTTGCCTTAGACAAATCTACAAAACGCGAATGTAATATTTTCTGGATACCTCAATCGTATCAGCACTGTCGATTTAAAAAGAAACGGTTCAACGAAGTTCCAAAACTACTTACCTTGGTAAGCTTCAACTCGGATATAACTTAGTTCATATTCATATACTAATAACATTTTGTGCTCAGAATGAGCGAAAAAAATATAACCAGGACGATTTTAGTGGTTCCTGTGGTTCACTGTTTTCTATTAAACAAGCTTTACATTTCTCAGAATTATCAATAGCATTACATTAATCATCGTTCCCTTATTTTGCACTCACAATAAGACGGTGTTTTGATTTTTGAATCAGTAGCTGCAGATATTCGTTGAGATAAAGTATAATCTTATAAAAATACTATGGCGACGCTAAGACGGAATTCAGCTCAAAGCAATTAAGGTGGAAATGTAAGAAAAACTACAGCGGATAAAATAAACACTACTATCTCATTCTTCCAAGTACTTGGTCTCGGAAATATAAATCGTATACAGTTTCTCACAGATTACTTTCTTTATTTCGCGTATCCTTTCAAATTCCAGAAGACAAATTGTATTATACCTATTGTAGCGTTGTTCTAATGCTTGCTTCCGTAGTGTAGTTGATTTATTTATATAGCATTTATAACATGCTTTCGCGTAAAAGATTTTGAAGAAAGAGGTTTCTGTTTATCACATATGAATGCAACGCTACATGGATTTTTTGTTTTATCTACCACGAACACACAGTTTCAAGCAACACATACGGTACGGGACACAAAGTTCAAGTACTATTAAATGCACTGAACGTTCTGATCGTCTGAGCAAGGTTGTCACACCAATAGTTAAAAGTTGGTCTATCGAAATACGACAGCACAAAGTGTCATCTTTATCAATTAACGACTCTAAGAGTGAAAACAGCAAGCTGTCTGTTCGAACTGTATCCCAGTTTCCATTGTAAGTCGAGTCGCCACTGTGGCCGTCAGATGCCGCCGATTCTGGTGCTATGGTAGGTACTAGCTTGTTCAATGACGAGTAGACCTATAGTACCAGAATCGGCAGCGTCTAGTGGTCATAGTGGTGACTCAGCTTACAATGTGATGTGAGATACAGTTCCAACAGACATTTTGCTGCTTTCACACTCGCAGTTGTCGATTCTGGTAATAGATGGCATCTTGTGTTTTCTTATTTCGATAGGCCTTATACTCTCTATAGTCCTTTAGAAATCAAGACTAGGTCATGTTGAGGAGTTGCAAATAGCACAAAACAGCTGCCTATGGTTTACCATTTGACGTCGGAATGAAAGCTATATTGCTAGTTGAGAGCTGGTTAACTAATACTTGAAAACTGCATTTATGGGCGACTGATAGCTAGCCTCCAGGTCAGAGTTACCTGATTAAAAAAATAGACAGGGCATGAAAAGCCGAGCTCTATCGGTGATAATATTGATCTCAAAATTTCTTTGGCATTTTTTGTAAAAAATTCTGTACAATTTTGTGAGTAGCAAGTAAACCTTCATAACTTCAATTTTATATCAGTTATCAATATAATTTGTTATGTTATCGTTTTATTGCTATACAACAAAGTATTTCCAAATTAGCAAATTCTATAGGAGTAATGATCTCCCACTACTATCTCCCGACCACCCCCGGGATTCCAATACCCGTACCGCAAAATCTCATTATCTTTGCTAATTAATTTACACCATGCAGACCATTGTTGGTGCAGCACAGGATGTCCATTATTGTTACGATCTTCCGGGCTGCCTCTTAATACTTCCATCTGCATCCGCCGCGTTGTTACAGATTACATCGAATTGCAAACTAAGGCCGCAATACAGCGGATGGCTTAAGTTTCTTGGCAGCTAATAAATCCTTTGGTTTTGTTATAGACACATGGCGATAAAAAGTCCCAGAGCGGCAAGATGTTTGGGGGTATTTAGACAGAAAGTTGATTGGTAGTGCTTTAGGATTTTTCCTTATCTATTCAGCCGTGTTCTGGAGTTTGACTTAATTATGACGACCTTAAAGCTCAAATAAAGGTCAAAGCGATTTTTTAAATGGGATTCTATACTCATTACCCCGGCAACAGATAGAGTGGAAAGTTTTACGTACAGATATGGCTCTGGGTGAAAATTATTTTGCCCTTACATGTGTCTAGTTAAGGTCATGTCTAAAGTGAAATTTCCCACTCTTTCAGCCTCTGGGATCAAAAGCATACAAGCATTCAAGAAAATCGTCGTGATCTTGATTTGACCATCAAAGTCGTAGTCAGGCCTCTTTCAAGGTCACCTGTGAGTAGCCAAATGGCCTTATGTGACAAGGTATGTATCTATTTTTGTAGTCAGCAATACAGGGTATCAGGCAACAACTGGCTTGACTTTGGTTAAGATTCATGGTTACGTTCAGTTTCATGGCGATCAGCTAAAATACTCTAAATCACTGCTGCCTTACGGTCCTTATGTTTTCTTAAGAAAAGACCTCTTTTAGATATTTTTTACTACGGCTCTGGATAGTATGTTTCGGGGTCAAAATAACCTTCATCCATGTAGAATTTTGCGTACTGTTTCCAGGGTTAAAAGTATAGAGTCCTATTAATAGATCTCCTGGATCTTAGACTCTTAAGGATACGCTAAATGTTAAATTCAAGGTCAGTATCGAATAGCCAGGATAAATCCTACAATTCTAGTTTCACTATACCCCTTGGTTATTCACAGTTCTTGCCGTTCAGGGACTCCTTGAACATCCTGTGTCATCTGAAGGTCTCATCAGACTGATAATAGATAAAACAAGGAATAGGCCCAGTTAAATTAGGTTAGCTAGATAACTATAATTGCTGATCTAACAATACCGAAAACATTTTCATCAGCCATCGAATAATATTTCTTGTTATTCGAATTCTACAGATAGAGGTTCAAATCTTCATCTAATACCTCAAATTCAGTAAATGCGTAGTGGTTGTCTAGCTGATTCATTTCCATGTATTACTGATCATTGCCTAAAGCCGTATACCCTATTTCACGATTATCCATCATGGTAGAATGACAGCAGAATATCTAGTAATATCTCAAAATTCCCCATATCGGCATGGGGCACATAATTCTAACGGATCCGTCAACCTCAGGTAGTCAGAACCGACTTTGTTTTGGTTTTTTGTACGCTACAGATTAATTTTATACCTGCTAACTGCTCTTTTATTTAGAAAAATTCATTTGCATATAAAAAACAAAACGCTACATACAAGTTTTACTAGATTGATACCAGATTCATTATTGCCAACATCGCAGACTAACACAAAAATGTCACTTGCTGATCAGCTGTTCACCTCAGTAGACGTCAAAGCGTGAAACCGGGTATAGATATTAAAGGCTACCTCTGTAGCCTTTTCAGGTTCAAAGTAAAAATTGCTTTCCTACTGATATTTTTTTATCATCTATGGCTTTATTAAACTTCCACTCGTACATGCAGATATGCTTTCAAGCTTACACGAAAAACAAGAAAATAGAAGCCGTTTTGGACACTGTAATTATTGCAGTTAGATTCAAAATAGAAAATTTTGGTAGCAAGCCTTTCTTCCTATCCCTGGCTGTGGAATCGGAAATGCTCTTACATAAGGTTACTCATTTGCCACTAGGTCGCAGGTTTTCCAAACGTTGATTCATCATACTGAGAAGCATAAGGTGAAACCCAATCTTGAATGCTATTATTTGGTTATCTTTCATCACGCTCATGTTTTACAGAGGGGGCACTAGGACTAAGTACTTTTCGTTTTGTTGCAAGCTAGGATAAGAATTTTAATATCAACTACCGATGTCGCAATAACTACGATTCTTGAATGATTGGTCTTATAAGAAGCATGACCTTCTATTCCATCCTAATTGCTAATTATGTAATTCTGTATGAATTGATGATACGCCAAAGCATAACAGCTGTAGAGTCGCACCTCCTAGGTTCTGTAAAAAAATGCAACAGTGGACCTATTTTATCACAGTTTTGACTACAGTAGTCACGTGAAACAATGCATCCAAGTATTTTGCAGGCTTACTACGTTCTGAAGCTCCATGTAACAGCGTTGTCTTAACGCCACACCAGGTCGAGTAAAAACTGCAAATGCTGGCGTAAGTTAGGTAGCAAAACATGATTGAAAAATGTAATTCTGGAGACCACTTAAGTCAAAGGAAGACGAAGGATATCGGAAACCACGTTCTGTCGTTAGTTTGCAGCTAAGGTAAAGAAAGATTAAAATATCTAAATTCCGACAGTAAACTAGGTCACCCA